CGCGCTGGCCTACACACGTACACACACGTATCCGTACGCACACACACGTATATAGACGTGAAGAAACGTTCAGACACGTATACACCCACATACATGCACAGACACAGATACACACACGTGTGTGTGTGGTGTGTGGGGGGGGGGGGGGGTAGGAGGGGGATCTGTTTACATGTTGCAAAGGTAAGATAGAAAAAGATTGTGAAAAATGAAAGTGGATAAATAAATGAAGACAGAAAGAAATAATGGAACAGTGGGAAAAAATTGATACCGAAGAATATTTGATATTTGTAAATTCACATTTTGGTGAAGTCAAACGACCTTGCTTTAGATTTTTTTAAATCTCATTTTTAGTACATATATCGTTTATATACATCATTCGCTGAGAGAAATTATATAAAATCTAGTGATAAAAATATAAAAAAGTATAAAAAAAAATAGTTTGTTTCAAACCATGTCATATTCGGAAGGTAATACCAAAGCTTTGTTTCTTGAAAATCAAACGTATATCATTTTAAGAAATCTTCCGCACCATCTTCAGATTTCACGAGCACAGGCAATACCTTTCACACCCACGTGGAATCATATAACTTCAGAAACACGAGAATATAACAACAGAGACACATTTCTCTTCACAGCATTACGTATAAAGCGTACGCATCCCGTGGCTTCATAAATCAGTTTTAAAGAAATGTTATTGTGATAACCCGCCGAATGATTACAAACACCAGGTTATTCATGTCTGTCTTCGACTCTCTCGGGCGTGACGATCGAATTTCAGTCTTTCTTATCTATTATCTGTCTATCTGTGTGTGTTGTGTTATATTGTATATTATATATATATATATATATATATATATATATATATGTGTAGTTGTGTGTGTATGTGTGTGTGTGTGTGTGTGTGTGTGTGTGTGTGTGTGTGTGTGTATGTATGTATATGTGTATGTATGTATATGTATATATATATATATTATTCAATTATTATATCTAATGTATATTATATATATATTATATATATATATATATATATATATATATATATATATATATATATATATATATAATATATAATATATATTATATATATATATATATATATATATATAATATATATATATATATACATCTATATGACATGTCTCTCTTGTGATACACACAAACACAGAAACAAAGAGAGAGCGAAATAGAGGAAGCTTGGAAGAAAATGTGTTTCCTCCTGTGACACATTTCGCACTCTGCTCTGTGTCCACAAAAGAATTTGCAAGCGAAGAAAAAAAGATCCTGTTTAATACATCGAAATTCCAGAACGTGAAAGGCAGATATCGGATATGCCCAATAGTCGGGTATAATTGCATTCTGTTAACGTTGAATATATATGGCACAATTTCTCCTTGATTGGGCCTTTAGTGACGTCATCGGGCTAACGAAATAATTTATGAGTTACTATTTTTTAAATTCTTTTTTGGGCCAGTGACATCCTTTTCGTCTGACCGTGACCTCGATTTATTATTAACATCAGCGTGTGTGTCCTGACGTCACATCCTATCAGGCTGGCCAATTGTTGCACGAAGGAATATCACTGTACTCGTTTTAAGTTCATGGTACTGTGGTCGTATCTATTCGTCTTTTCTTTCTTTCTTTCTTTAAAATAACAGTCCAATAAGTTCGGCTGACATAACGAGAACACGTCCAGAGCAGAGCTGCCAACAGTCCCCGCCTAAACAGCTACAACAGAGCTACCAACCTGTGCAATGACCGTAATACATGTATTTCTTTACGGCCCGACTAAGGTTTCGTATACAACGAACCTGTCTCCCCGGTGGGTGGTTCGCCCCAGTTCATTTCTGACCCGGGGATGGTAACCACGTCAGTTTTACAGATCGTAATGTGGGAGCCACCACGCCTGTGATACATGAACCATGATATCAGCGTCAAGTTGGCCAGCGCTTACATGGTAGCCTTGTCGAGCTGCCACGGGTAATCACAGTGTTTTCGCCGCTCGTGATGAACGACGCCTTCGCGCTGCACATCGATAACGCTATCGCTGGGATTACACGAAAGGGAGCATGCGGGGCCGGGAGTACGCGCGCACACGCACACGCACTCGCATGCACATACACACAAACACACACAAACACACACACACACACACACGCGCACACGCACACGCACACGCACACGCACACGCACACGCACACGCACATGCACACGCACACGCACATGTACACGCACACGCACGCACGCGTGACAAATGAGTGAATGATGAAATGACTAAGACATCTAAATTAATCACTGTGTTTTGTTATCCACTGGATTATTACTTCCTCTTCTTCTCTGTCTTTTCTTATATCCTTCCTACTCCTCTTATCTTTATTATTTTCCTTCCCCTTTTATTTACTTTATCCTCTCTCCTCCCCCCCTCCACCTCAGCTCCTTTCGATTTCACTCTCTCTCATATTCTCTTCCAATCTTAATCTCGATCAATTTATCTATCTACCTATCAATCTGTCCACGTCTTTCTTTCTTTATCTTTAACTTCCTGTCTATCTATTTATCTATCTATATATATATATCCATCTATATACATATAATATATACATATTTATATGTATAGTACTTCTCTCTTTCCATTCCCTCCCTCGGCCTCCTCCTTCCCTGCCTCCACCACTATCCCCTTCCTTCCTTTCCTTCCTTCCTCCTTCCCTCCTTCCCTCCCTCCCTCCCTCCCTCCCTCCCTCCTCCCTCCCTCCCTCCCTCCCTCCCTCCTCCCTTCCTCCCACCCACCCACCGTCCCTCCCTCCCTCTCCAGCTTCCCTCCCTCTCCAGCTTCCCTCCCTCTCCAGCTTCCCTCCCTTCCAGCTTCCCTCCTCTCCAGCTTCCCTCCCTCTCCAGCTTCCCTCCCTTTCCAGCTTTCCCTCCCTCTCCAGCTTCCCTCCCTCTCCAGCTTTCCCTCCCTCTCCAGCTTCCTCCCTCTCCAGCTTCCCTCCCTCTCCAGCTTCCCTCCCTCTTCCCTTCCTCCTTCCCTCTCCAGCTTCCCTCCCTCTCCAGCTTCCCTCCCTCCCCTCCCCTCCCTCCCTCCCTCCCTCCCTCCTTCCCTCCTTCCCTCCTCCCTCCCTCCCTTCCCTCCCTCCCTCCCTCCCCCCTCCCTCTCCAGCTCCCTCCCTCCCTCCCTCCCTATCTCCAGCTTCCCTCCTCCCCTCCCCTCCTTCCCTCTCCAGCTTCCCTCCTTTCCTCCCTCCCTCCCTCATCGCCGCCAAGGCTGTGATTCCGCCCTTCTTCCGACAGATTCAAATTAGAGCGGGAAGTAAACCGTCTCATTTTGGCGCGTAAAAGAATGGGGTTTTCGGCCTCCCAGCCCCGCGAAATTCGTTCTCTTTCTTGGAGGAAAAAAGGGGTTTTCGTTATCTCTCTACTGTTTGTTTGTTTTTCTTTCTTTCTATTCTTTTCTTTTCTTTTCTTTTCTTTTCTTTTCTTTTCTCTTTCTTTCTTCTTTTTCTTTCTTTCTTTCTTTTAAGGTGATATGGGGGCTTTTCGTTCTTCGTTCATTTTAAGGTTCGTTTATTATTTTTTTCTTTTCTTTTCTTTTTAAGAAATTTATTTGTTCCTTTATTATATATTTTGGATTCGTATTTTTTCTTTTATTTTTTTTTTGAGAAGGGAAAGGGGTTCTTCGTTTATTACTATTATTTGGATTTGTTTGTGTTTCGAGAAAGAAAGAAAAAGAAAAAAATATTCGTTTATTATCCATTAATGTCATTCCTTTATTGTTTTCTTTTTTCTCTTCTTTTTGAAAAGGAAAAAAAGAGAGTTTTTCGCTTATTGTCTATTTTTGGCATCGTTGTTTTCGGAAAAGAAATAACGACCTTATATTTAGATTTTTCTTTTCTTTTTTACTTTACTCCGCGTCCTCCTCATCCTCCTCTTCCTTCTCTTTCTCCTCGTCCTCCTCTTCCTTCTCCTTCGCCTTCTCCTCCTCCTCCTCTTCTTCTTCTTCCTACCTTCCTCCCTACTCCTCCTTCTTCTCCTCCTTCTCCTCCTCCTCCCCTCCTCCTCCTCCTCCTCCTCCTCCTCCTTCTCCTCTCCTCCTCTTCTCCTCCTTCTCTCCTCCTCCTTCTCCTCCTCTCCTCCTTCTCCTCCTTCTCCTCTCCTCCTCCTCCTCCTCCTCCTCCTCCTCCTCCTCCTCCTCCTCCTACATAAATGACATACAAAAGGTGCGAACGTATACTTAAAATTTCAAGGTCAGATTACAGTTTCTTTTGATATTCGCTCCTTTGTTTACATTATTTTATATTTCTATTTTTTTCTTAGTCACTGATATTTCTGAAATTGTGAAAGTTGCAGTAGTAATGATAAGATGATCATAATTATTCTCATAATCTTTAAACGTCCCACTTTGCACCGCTAATATCTTTATCAATCTTTCATTTTATTCATCAAATCGTCTTTTTTACTAATATCATTATAATTATCATCATAATCTTCGCTATTTCCTTTTATATTAGTATCTTATTTTTGTCAATTATGATACCATGGTTATTTCTATTATCAATATCAGTCGCAATTTTAACTATATGAATACAGTTACAGATGATAATGGTGATAATGAAAGCAATAACGATGCTGAAATTGATGATTAATGCCATAGCTATAAGATGAAATACAAATAAAGATTATCATAAAGAGAAAGATTAGGTTCATAATGACAATTATGATGATGCGAAAATAGTTGATTATGATGGTAATGATGATGACGTCAATGATAACAATGAGAATTGCAGAAAATAAAGTTATTTTGGTGTGAGAATGAGGAGGAGGAGGAGGATGACAGTAATGATGGTGATGGTCATATAAATAATGCTTAATAACTATAATAAAAAGAATGATAGGAGCAGTAATGATTATTGTAATATATTGCGATTATTGTTATTAACATTATCAAGAAAATTGATGATAATGACCTAATTGAACGCATAATCAGCGCCGTGTTCTCTCTCCCTCAG